GAAATAGTGCCCATCCGGATTTGTGTGAGCTAAGAGTGAAAGAATGGCCATGTCTACACTACTCAAAAGACCAGAAACTGTTTTTGAATACGGCTCCAATCAACACAGCTTTACCACTGATTTATCCTTGAAAACACAGCCCTGATTTGATTCACTGCTATTCAGAGGGCCACAGAGATCAGAGGCAAATTCTCTGTTCATAAAACCCCATTGACTCTAACAGGGTTATACCAGAAAAGAATTTGGCTCTTAGCAGTAAGCAATATTCAGAAACTGCCAGATTAATTAGCATATTTTTGAAAAATCCACAGTTACCCCCTAATATTGGGAAAAACCATAATCACAATTTGTCCGCACACTTGTGCAGCAAATTAACTAATTTCCATTTGCTGTTCTTGTGTTCACAGTGATTCGGTCATCTAAACAGGATGGAATTTTCAAATGTGCCATTGTCTTTTCCGCACATGGTATGTGCTCTGATTTAGTGAACCTGGGGCAACCCTCTTATGGGGTCATTCTTAAATTGGTTCAAGAGTTGACAACGTAGGAGTGTTGCACCAATTTAAATAAATTGATGAACAAAACCTTAAACCATAAATCAGCTTCTTAGTGCTCTATCTCCATTTAGCTGAAGCTGATAAGGAATTGATTGAAGCTAAATCTATTTAGGGCACTCTGAAACTTATACAAGAAATGTTCACACAAGCGGGTGTCATCCATTAACTAGTTAATCAGTACATCCTTTGTGTGTAGACAAGGGGTAAAATGAGTCCTTTTGTGGATCCGGCCAAAAGTACATTAAGGAGCGCAAGTCCCATTGAATGTCAGTAAAAACAACATCACATGACTTAGGTGACATTTCACAAAAGTAATGAAGTTGGTGAAGTGAACAGATCACTAGAGCCCTGTGTGAATACAAAATTAGTATCCGCATCCAATCTGCAATCCCCCCAAATGAGGATATCTGTGAATATAAAGCAGATATCTGTGGGTTTACAGGGCTCTACAGATCACAGTCAAGCCAGAGTACAAAATTTACCACATTCAAAAAAATCATTAAGGTGAATTTAAGGTACTGTATCAGTGGATTGAGTGACAGTTCCCTCACAAAAAGGTTGGACGGTGTGTGTGTGTGTGTGTGCGTGCGCACTAGAATACCAGGAAAGTCGAACTTAAAATTAAATTTACATGAAATTCAAAATGTTGATAGTCTGAATACTCACAATTAAGGGAATAAAATTGCTTAAAATGTAATCCTGTAAAGACACTATCTTCTGTGTTTGTGCATGGATTATGAAATATCCAACACAGATGTTTCAGTTCTTTTCTTCCTATGTTTTGTTTCGTTTCTAGTGGTGGTGAGTTCAGTGTTGGATTTGGATGGTAACTGACCTGCTATATAAACTGCTGATTCCTTTTCTTGATTGAGAACGGTGTTCCTGAGGCAACAAGACAAGTTTTGGTTTGAATGTTCTTTTACAATGAGAGCAGTTTCTGTTTCAAACAGGCCATTATCCCCTTGGGATGTTGTTTCAGAGAGTGATGGTAAATGTTGCCCATTGAGATCTTTCCACAGCACTTCAGGCTCTGGGTACCAACCAGCTGATTGACAAACCACCCGAATCCCTCCATCTTGGTGACCCTCCACAGAGATAAGAGGAGCAGAGCCCAGACCTAAGGGGAAATACATAAAGGTGTCAATTCCATTTGTTAATAAAGCAGAAGGGACAGTTTGTGAATCCCTTACTCACACTAGACAGCACTAATTCATGCGGGTAGTCAGTAGAAGGGATAAATGAATACTGGAATGTCTGAAATCCCAATACTCATGGACACACACAAATTTAACAAATATTTAAAATAGTTTCACTGAGTCAGTGGGAGATATTGTCATCTCAACACAGGCGTAACTGAGTGCTGACACCTTTGGAGATATTACAATGTAGATAACTGAATAGGATCTGAACTTTAGAAAATCTGATCATTAGGGAATTGGATAGATATATTTATTTTTAAAAAATCTAATTGGTTCATGGTGAAAGTGTTAAAGCAGCAGGGGAAAAATGCTCAGTCTTGTCTAAGAGTGATAAATGCATAATTTCCCCTCCCCACTAGGACACTCTGAACTCCATATCCACCACAGTAATATGATTATGGTATGATTATGATAAATTATGTTGCATCTTGTACAACATGTGTCAAGTAAGGTGTCAATGTAAAAGTTATGATTGGCTGAATGTTTATCGTATTTGTATGCATGTATCATTTTTGTATCTGGAGTTATTAATATTGACTATGCATCTGTATTTCAAATGTGCTTGTTCTGGGTAACACACACAACTAGCCTTTCAGGTACACCAGTGAAGAAGCTAGACAGTGCTAATGGACCATCAGCGAAAACAATGGGCCATGGAAAAGTCTTGTCCTCACTGGGGGACACTTCAGACAGCCTATGGATAATGGCTGCCATGACTCATCAAGCATTCAGGGGCATGTGACTAGACCCATGATACTGAATTCCACTTTGATACCTGTATTTTCCCACAAACTGGGCTGGGAACTTGGCTTGGAACAAAGGGGTTCCCGCTGTATAAAAGAAACTGTAAAAGGGGGAAGTGACATCACCAATGGACCTCACTTGCCCCACAACTCAACACTTGATATACCTCTGGAAGAGCACAGACTTTGAACTGGGGAAGTGATGGTCCCAGGTCGGAAAGATGGAAACCCTGCCTGTGTATGAAACATCTATAAACTGCTTGTACTATCTAACAGGGTGAGACACTTTTTGATTCAAATCCTTTGTGGTATATTAAGCTTAGATTGGGTTTTTGTTTATTTGCTTAATAATCAACTTTGATCTCTTTGCTATCACTTATAATCACTTAAAATCTATCTTTCTGTAGTTAATAAATCTATTTTCTATATTTTTTACCTAAAATAGTGTGGTTTGAGTGAAGTCTCAGCTCAGTTAACAAAGGTTTTTGTGTATATTCCTCTTCAAATCGAGGAAGGGGCGAAGAGGGTAATTGTCATAATCTTTACTGGTCAGGCTTTTGACCAGGGCAGGATGGTACAGCTCCAGGGTCCTAGGTTGGGGAGCTGGGGGGTGTTTTGGCTGAAGCCTCGCTATTGTTGGTTCATGAGTGCCTGGCCAGATGCATTCATGCACAAAGATGGGTGTGGTCCCTGCCTGTGGAGGTTGGTGTGAGTGCAAGTGTGGAGGGTTTTGCAGCTTGTCACAACATCATAGTGCAAGAGGGAACCCAGATTGGTGAGACAGAGGGATCAGCTGTACACCAGTTACAAATGGTACCCCGGCGGAAGCCATCACACCCACCACCACCACCATCATACAGTCTCAATAAATAAGAACACTGCATTTGATTTTAACTACACCCATGAGTAACAACCAACAGTGAACCAATGAGAAAGCCATGAAAGTCTGTCAATCCCACCTTAGCCACACATCCTAGAAATGGCTGCAGAGCAACTGGAAGGCCATATTTGTCCAGAAGTCTTTTCCTTCTTAACTAAAGAACACTTTAGGGTCAGTTGAGACTGGGCAAGAAAGTGCCTTGGCCATCCTAAAAATGTTTTTAATAACATGTTGGGAAAGTTTTCAGCATATTTTCCCTAGTATGAAAGTGGCTGTTTGCTGAAAGTTAAGATACACTGTGTTATTGCAAAATATTTCACAAGCAGGGAGTCACAGCTGTTGTAATAGGAAAGAACAAAGCCTGCAGACCACACACAGCTAAAACTGACACAAACCACTGACCTGCTACCCGCAGTTCCAATATAGTTTCTTCGTAAAAAGTACCATCTTGAACAAAGCAGTGGTATTCTCCTTCATCAGAATGTCTGATATTGAGAATCCTCAAGGGAACATTTCCATCTGTGAGTCCAGCTTTCAAAAGCTCCGTCCTTCCCTGATATTCTGGCATCTGCTCTTCATACTGATCCTTCCCATCACGATACAGGTGCACAAAGGATAAATACTCAGATCGGAACCATCTCACCTCCATGTTTGCAGCGCTCATCCGGGGGGACAGGTGACAGGGTAACACAGTTTCCTGACCCAGGATGGCAGCGACAGGGTCAGGGGGTCCAATCACTGTGAACTTTGCTGGAAAATGCACCAGGACAGCAAAAACAATAATAACAAGGTTGGGGAGACAGAGAACTGGGAATGGATGTGCTCGGTGTATAGTTGAGACAAGCTATTCAATAGCTCATTTTTCTAAGTGCTCTCAAATTGACAAGCTTACTGACATTGGCATGAGATTTGCTGGGCCTCAGCAGGAACAAGGGTAGGGTTGGTGGGCTATATTTGGTGTTCTTCCACCAAGGTGCTCCTGAGATAAAAGCCTGTTGCTCTAGGCAATTGTTGTACTATTGTGGTTCAATATTTCATATAATCAAGAGACCAAATAACCAAACTTGCCAAATTTATTGCCTAAGGACAAAACAGTACACTATGAAAAGGAGACATACATATCCTACTTTTGGAAAGCAATTCTTACCTTGCAGTGTGCTCACCTTACACAGAAAGTGTGCTTCAAAAATACAACACCCAAACCACTGATATTTATACCATGGTTGTTTGCAAGTGAAAAAGCACTTTATACATCACCCCATCCAACCCCCCCCCCTTAACTTGTTCTGTACATTCCTTATCGCTGTTTTGGACAGAACATTCCAAACCAGGTGGGGGTAGACGTACATCCCAGCCAGTGCTAGGACAAGTCATTCATGTCTCTTGGCTTTGATAGGCTTCCTAATTTCTATTGTGAACACTAACTTAACTTTAGTCAAGTTTGGTGGGATATTTGATATGGGTGAACAGAATTGTTAGAAGAGCATAATATATTCAGTTAATTTCCCAACACTATATGTAAAGAGAGAATTACTCTGCATATAATACCTAATAATAAGGTGGTGTATACTATACCTAACATATATGTATTAGCTAACAGGCCCAATAAAAAAGTCACATGACATCAAATATTCTAGTTCTTATTATATTTTTGTGCACATGTGGGGCACTAACTATGGCTCTGATCTTTGTTATATCTCAAATCCTCTAAGATAAAGTACATAAATTATAAATTATTATTAGCAACAGAGAGTCCTGTGGCACCTTTAAGACTAACAGAAGTATTGGAGCATAAGCTTTTGTGCGTGAATACCCACTTCATCAGACGCATGGGCATGCTTATGCTCCCATGAAAGCTTATGCTCCAATACATCTGTTAGTCTTAAAGGTGCCACAGGACTCTCTGTTGCTTTTTACATATCCAGACTAACACGGCTACCCCTCTGATACTTGACATGAATTATTATTGTTATTATTAAACTCTTCAACATGTGCCCAGCCAATGCTCTGGACATCCTTGACAATCTTTTCAAAAGACTTATGTGAAGAAACAGACCTGTACCCTATCCCGGGAGCAAATAAAATAACCCAGCAGCAGCAGGAGCAACACAATCAGAGCAAACAATGGATAATAAAGGTGCTGATCTTGCTGTGGGGTGAAGTTTATACACTGTGAGAAGTTCCAGTCACTTTGAGTTGTGTATGTTGTTAAGACACTTCAGGGGCTTAAATAAATCCTCAAAGAAACAGTAGACACAGGACGGATTCCTACCTGATTCCATCCTGTGAACATAACAAGTCAGGAAGAAAATGATGAACCCAGGGAGAGAGGAGCTGGTTCTGGAGCTGTAGCAGAATGACAAAACCTTCATCTGCACTGTAACTTGATCTAGACAACAGGAAGAAGGAGGAAAGAAAACTCATCATAGTGAACATAACACTGAGACTAACATAAAATCATTAAAGTCAAACATTAAAGAGGACACATTAAATAAAAAAGGAATAAATGCATTATAAAGTGAACTCTTTCATCTTATGTAGATAGAACAGCCATTTAATTAAATTTAATATGCGTTTCCTTTTTGAGTCTGCTTTTGTCCCATCTCTACAAAATCCACAGTGAAAAAAGTCATATCGGTGTAGAAGTTGGTAATAATTCCATCAGTGGAGAAAAAAGTTTTAAGGAATGAGAAACAGTGTGTGTATGAGAGAGAGGGAGAGAGAGAGATTCTTTGTTTTTGTTTGTTTGTTTTTTACCCATTTATTTTCTTTTAACATATCAGAGGCAAAATGATTCAGTCCCATAAACAGAATTATTAAGTAACAGAGATAACAGAGAAAGAGGATGCCCATAAAGTTGTATTTGCGAGAGTCTGCAACTTTTCCAAACAGAAATATACAGTAAGTTAATTCATAGCAAGACTCTCTTAGAATGAATTGAGAGCAGGATCAGGTCCAGTTTTCCTGAATAAAATATAAAGAGGAAAGACAAAAAAATCTGAAATCAAATAACCACAACAGTCTGATGTCAAATTCCAATGAAAGGAGAGGAAAAAATAACTCAGATAAAATTTTGAATATATAGTTCAAAAGCAAAGTTTATATTCAGAGTTAGATACTGGATCATTCTGCAGCAATTTATTCACCCAAAGAATAAATGTCTCCGAGGAGATATCAAAGAGCAATGGAGATTGTATTCAAGTGACAGAAGCTCACCTACCTGATGAATCTTGGAAATCATCTTTGGAACAGTTTTGAGCTCTCCCTGGCATTTCCAGGTTTTCTACACTCCTCAGCCATTCTCCTCTGGTTTGTTTACATTTTCGGTGATGATCTCAGGCCAAATTAATTAATGAGAAATTACAGAGACGAGGGGCTGAATCCCAGGCTTTGCTTCCAAATTTCTGCCAAAATGGTGTCTCTTTTTCGTCAGGCGTGCAACATGTCTCTCTCGATGCCTTCACCACCCTAGAAAGCGAAAGTAGGAAGGAACTCGAATGCTGTGGGGATCTCAGTTCCTTCACACCCGCATTGCAGTCTGGGAGTTAAGGATCCTCTCCCAAAGAAGTCCACCTAGGAGCCCAGCGTTGACTCAGATATAGCCAAGTGCCCCAGTCTGGCTGAAGACAATGAGAATTTCGAAGGGACTTGGCTTCCTGCGCCTCCAGAGCTGCTACATGCGGTACCGGATGTATGATGGCGCTGGGCCCACGCACAGCAGGGCCCCCCCGCCCCCAGCCGGCCACTTCTGCTGCAGCCCAGCGATCACAGTGCTGGCTCTGCTCTCCAGCCCCTTCCCCTAGGACCCGGACCCTGGGCTTCTCACCCCACCCCACCCCCTCGCTCCTCCTCTCGTCTCCACCCCTCTCCCCTCCCTCACTGGCAAGCAGCCTGCGGGGGAGGGAGAGGAGCCCTCAGTCACTTCCCAGCTGCTCCTGCGGGTGACCGACGGTGCCGCTTCTGGCTCCCCAGGGGTCAAGAAGCCGAAAGCCAGGGACTGTCACCCAGCCGCCTGGAGTGGAGGGGCCGGAGTCCCTGTCCGCCGTTCAGGTGCTATGCAGAGGGGGGTGCTAGAACCAGGGAGAAGGTAGGTGGGCAGGGGCGGTTGGGGGGGGATCCTGTTTACCCCCTCCCCAGCCCTGCTGTGCTTGCAGTTTACCCCGGCCCCTCCCTTGCTCCAGGGACCAACCCTAACTCCTGCCGTGCTTTTACCCCCGTCCCCTGCCTTGCTCCAGGCAGCAGGGACTAATCCCCCCCTCCCATGCCCCACTGTCCTAGTCTTGTCCCTGGCCCCTGCCTCGCTCCAGCTGGGGACCAGTCCTCCCTCCCATCATGGCCCCCTGTCAGGGTGGATAAAATCAATGACTTTTTTAAAAAAATCAGATTGTTATGATTTAAATTAGATTTCTTTGATAAAATGCTTTTTGAGCAAAAAAACTATCTAAAGATAGTTTTAATTAAGATACATTATAGCTCAAAGATGTCTCATAATGGAATAGGGATTATAAATTCTAATTCTGTAGTATGAGACAATATAGTCATATCATGTTTAAGAAAAGTTTTCTAAATGAGTTCTAATAGTTCATGGATTAGGGACCCAATTTTATGAGGTTCCACAGGCTTCTATACAGATTATTTAGGTTAATCTTTCTATCTACCCAATGGGACTCCGTGTTCAGTCTAGAAGATACCATCAGAGATGTTTAGTTTTGCAGTTCTCAAACTGTGGCTTTGTGTCTCCAGAGGTAACATGCTTGTTAAGAGCAAAAATGTTTTTAAATAAATGAATAATATATATAGAGGCAAGAAATAACAGACCTCAACTCTATTGTCCCTCTGCAAATTTGTGTACACAGAGTCAATCCCTTTGTACCTCTCTCAAAAAATGCAAAGTTTCAAAAAGTTCAATGAATAGAAGATTGCTGGGGGTGGAATAGATCTGGACAAGGAGAAGAAATCTGGAGATAAATGTGAGAAGCGAGGGACATATGCTTTTTTGTTATAATATTATATGTTTGCTGTTAAAGAAAAAAATTCAGACTACTTAATGTAGTTTTAGTTAAATAAAACAATTTAAATGTCTGTCTGGTGATGTCATCCTCCTAATACAGCATGGCAAGAAAATCCTCCAACTATTAGTGATTAACCTGTTGAACTGAAGATAGTTCACCTCCTAATGACTTCATAAATATCTGCTTCAATTACCTTTGGTAAATGAAATAACGAAAAAATCATTCATTGTCTGATATAGCTGTAAAACTCATCTGAAAAGTTTTCAAAATAAATCACTGTTTAAAAATGTACAGTGTGGACCTTCTGAAAATGAAACCTACATATTAACTTCTGAAGAGCCACAGGTTGGCCACCCCCATTTTAAAGTTATAACAACCAACAAGAATGCACTTTTATGTAGAAAACCATGATTAAATGGAGTCTTCCTGACTAGAGTTTTAAATCATAATTTAAATCAAATCCACCCTGCCCGCTGTGCTCTTGCTCCTGGCCCCTTCATTCCCCGGGGGGGGGGGCCCCACAAAAAGTTAATTCAGCCCTGTCCAATACAGTCATAATAATCATTATATTTTTCATCTCATGCTCCAAATGGAAAGTTCCCTTTTAATTACTTCAGTAATAAACAGCCTTTGTACTGCTACACTGGAGTTTATGGTGAAGTGAGTGTCTTTACTGCTGTAAGGTCGAAGGTTAAAGCCCAACCTCTCTCTGGTCTCAGGTACAAATCAAACAGGTACCAAACCACGTTAGTTGTTAGTTCTAAGTTCTGATTGGTCAGCAGACATAGTGCTCTCCTTGTGACAGGATCCCCAGGGTACAAACTGGATCTGGGGCACCACTGTGGCCCCTTACATCTCCAGCCTGGGCTGTCTCTCACAATATCACTCAGCACAACAGTAGGTGGAGCCCCACACCCAGCTAGATTGCCTGAATGCTCCCAGAGCCACTCACAAATCACACAGAGAAAGGCACCAGCCAATATCCCCCAGCTCCCCAGCCTTGTACCCCAGTGTAAGTTTATTGCCCAGTCTGCCCCTCCCTCAGTGTGGAGAGGGCATGTATCAGCCAGAAATGGAAATCCAGCTGTGGTGAGAAAGGAGAGTTTGCCAGGGATGTGGCTGGTTACAGGGGCTGCCGTAAAGCTGGATACAATGTTGCATTATTTAATGCATTACGCTGTGGAATTTGTATGTTCTTGCAGCTGGATGGTGTGAGCTGAAATTATTTTCCTTAAGGGGAAGGCTGGCACTGCTCCTTGTTTTGCTGGAGAATGCCTGGATGGAGATTGGGATTCATCAGTCACACACCTTCATACTGCTGCTGTTTCATGTGGCTGGGCACTGCAGCCGGGACTCTTTTGTGGCAGAGTGGATCTGAGATCAGATTCAATAGGGAATCTGGAGAGTGGCCTTCTGGAACCAGAAAAGAAGCTTAAACTGCGATGGGAAAGGCCTGCTGGACAGAGCTGCTGCTGGGGAAGCCGCTGGTTACTTCATGAGCAACCAGATACAATATTGTTACAGATCCTGACTCAGACTGTGATGAGACACATTGTTACCGTTATGTCAGGCAACCTGGTTACATGGTTGGAAACCTGCTTCTAACCAGCCTTGCTGCTTCATGGCATCCAGATGCTGTCAGCTCTGGTGCATGGGCGCAGGCAGAGGATCTCACTGCTGCTGGGTTTTTGTTGCTGGTGAACGTATTGCCTGAGAATTGCAGTCATCAATCAGACACATGTGACATGCAGTTATTTTTGGCCAACAGAAGTGGCCTCCAGGGGCTGAGGTGGAGGCTGGAGACATGAATCCCTCATCCCGTGTCACTTGCAGCTGACTGTGCCAATGAGCATTCCCAGACTGTTTAGTGGAACATCAGGATGGGAGAGTGGGGATGCTCTCTAACAACAAGGACAAAACACAAACAAAAAACAAGGGCTGGGGAAGAGAGAAACAAGCTAGAGGCCATGAGTACAAATTATCTCACTTCTACTGAGTGTTGTTTGTGTTTGCAGGCACCCCCCACCCCCTATGACTGACCATGACTTCATATTCCCAGCCCTAGAAGGCAACCTAGTATTGGACACCTTTGCAGCCCACTTTACTAATAAGTTAACAGAAGTTGCACAAGGTCACTGAAGTCAAAATGGGGAATAGAATCAGGGTCTCCAAATCGAATCCCCAAGTATCTGTTCATTGGTTCTCCTATTGCTAATGGTTACACCACATCAGAGCCAGCAATAGGAGACCAGAGTCCTGATTGCAAATGTTCTACTGATGACCGGCAAATACTTGTGTAACCCATTAGCACAGCATGTGTCACATTCCCTCCAGCAGCTAGCCCATACACAGCCCAACAATTATTCACGGAGCTGAAGTGGTGTGGTGGGGATCTGAAGAGACATGATTTAAATCAGTGGTTTTCAAAGTCCGGGTCACGACTCCGCAGGGTTCACCCCTGGCATGGAAGGTGGCCGCTTCTTTATTTGCATCCCGCAAGGTTTCATCTACATTTAATGGGTTATTTAGTTGCAAAGATGTATACAATGAAAATTTAATTACAGGGTATATACAATCTACATGTCAGATAACAACAAACAACCTTTAATAGTTTTCATGAAGTTTCTACATCAGACATCTTCTCATCTTAACACTAACAACCGTAAAGTGAAGTGTGTATCTAATTACCAGGGCCTACAGAATGGAAAGGTAATGTAATAATAAACAACAAGATTTAGACAAGTAAAAACAATACACTTAACATATGTGGTTTGATCTCTATCTGCACAAGAGAATTGGCCTGAATACATATTGATACACTTAACCCTTTGATATTCAGACACAAGTGAATTATTGCTCTGATCTGAGCTGGTCTGTCAGTGCCACATGAGCAATGTATTTCACACACTATAACTGCCTTTGAATACAAGTTCCCAACTGGCAAGGAGGAAGATGAGCACCATGTGGACAGCAGAGCACCCAAGTTACTGGATTAGTGGAAAATTCACTATTTTCCCTGATTTCTGTTGCTTTTTCTGTCTTGCTTCAAAAGCAGGCAGCCATTCACAGACACACGTGAGACTCTTCTGCCAGCAAACATGCAGCAAAGTAAGCATTAGAAGCCATGAGTTCAAATGTCACCTCTCCTTTTTGTTCTTTATATTTCCATGCACATCACAACCCTTGTCACAAATACAACACCAGATCCCCTGCCCGAGATAGCAGAGAAGTATCAGATGCTTTCTCCCCCAGATTACAAAGTATTTCAGAGGCTGCACAAGGTCACTTCCGGTAGAACTGGGAAGAGAACCCAGGTCTCCTGGAAAACCCAGGTGCTAGCCACTCATTCCTTCTGCCTTTGGGATGAATGCATAAAATAGATACAATCTGGTTACCACCCCTGCACAACAGAGCCAGGCACAGAACCTTGGAGTTCTGACCTCTAATCTGTCTAGTAAGCATTTGTGTACCTGATGGAACAGTGTGTCAAGTCCCACAACAGTGACTGGCCTCAGAAATAATGGTGAGGAATCGGGGAAGCCATGTTACAAATCCTGCTGCTGCTGGAGTGGGGACTGAGTGGTTCCATGGGGTATTAAAAGAAGAAAACTAAAATATATAATTTAATTCACATGCTAGTTAAAATGTTATAATCTATTGATTGAGGGGCAATGTGCCCTAAAATCCAGTTATTCCATATTGAAAACATCAGTCACACAGTTTGATGGCTGGTGTCACACATGGGCAGGTTTGGGAGCGGAGAAGTACCGTGACCCAACCAGCTCTCTCCAGACCACAGCTGAA